GTTTTATGTGTGGCACCCTGTTGGTTGTGGATCTCCATCCATTTTACACGTGTATTTCCAGTTTGGTATGCATTTAACGCGAGGAATATGATTTGGTAAGTAATTGAGTTTGGTATGCATATGCATGCATCTGTGTCAAATTGTGCGGCACACGGGAGTGGTCTCCCAGTTTTGTGTAATTTCATGCCCATAAATGTGCGAAGGGCACGGGAGAACATTCTTTCATCATTGCCTCCTGACGTGGTCGGTCGTAGGTAAGGCGTGTGGTTGAGGTTCCATCACCGATATGTGGGTGTTCGTGTGTTCAAATGTAATGGGTTGGTCATCTCTCTCGTCCGTGTGTAGGCAGGGAGTATGGTTATATCTCTCCCCTCAGTGGGCAGCACAGACCATATGTAAAGAAGAGTTGATCATTTCGTGCATAATACATCATTTATGTTTGGCACGACAGGAGGAATGAGATTTAGTTGTTCTGACATTTTGACGGTGTACGTGGGTACGGAAAGTACTCCCTGTGTCCGTGATGTTCCCTGATGTTGTCGCATCGAGTGGCAGCATGTGCCAAGGACAGGTAGACGTGGAATTTTTGTTATTTTTTAATTTTGACGCACAAGAATGGTGCGTCCCACCAACCAACCGCCTATGACGATAAAGTGCGTTGCAATAATATTCCCTGATGTTGGTTTTCGGCTCTTTAGCTCCTCGGGCTCTCACTCTGTCGGAACTATGTACGTATGTTCTTTCCTCTAACGGGACTCGCTCGAGGGAGGGGTGGAGGGTGCCATGTGCCATGCCCAGCGTGAGCTTTTCAGACGGCCCTGCCGGACCTTTGTCTAGAGACATGCCACATGCCGCAGGTGAAATTTTCTTTGAAAAATAAATACACCGTTCGTTTTTTTTTCTTTGGTCTGAAAGATACCCCGCCCCCCCCCTAGCAAATTTGATCCCCAGATTCCTCCCCACATCATCACATCACTCAATGTACGGTCGATGAACAAATAGCAACCAAAAAGGTGAACGCGAGCCAGCTACGCTCACCAGCAGCAGTCGGTGATCTAGCCATGTCGCCAAGAACAAGGGCGGACAACAACGAGATTCGAAGTGTGGGGCAACCTCCGGTTGTTGCTTTTGACTCTCGACAACAAAGTGCTTCTCACCAACAGCGTGCGAGAGATGAGCACCAGCAGCAGCAGCAGCAGCAGCAGGCCGTTGTCCGCCCTAAGAAGAAGAAGCCGCTGAGCTCTGGGTTCAAGGACATCATCTGGACGAACCCTCCCCCGGTCGGAGTCGACTCGAAGGCCACGTCTTCCCAGCGACGGAAATCGTCACCGCAGAATTCTCAGTTGCATTCCCTCGCCGCCGCCAGCGCCTCATCGACGACCTCGTCTGGCTTCCACCGTGGTAAGGAGGATAACAACGACCAGCAGCAGCAAGCAGCGCGGACATTAGCAGCGGAGAATGGCACAACAGGAAATGGCAAGGGTAGGCAGACAGGGAGGGAGCGCCCCACGGGTGCAGAAGAGGCACGGCAGCAGCAGCAGTTGGGCGGCGGGGACAGCAACAACGAGGCGTTAAATCCAGCGCGGTATCCGTCGGCTCCCGTCGAGACGATTAGGAATGGAGTCGTCACCGTCGAGCGCTCCCTCTCGGACACCTCCGTCGTAACCGCTTCCGACTTCGGAGCTCCGGTGTCCAACAAGCCCACCATCCTCACGGACCTGAACGACCCCGACGCCGTCCGGGAGCTCGTGGGTCTGCTGGGCAGAGGGAAGGGGCTCCCGGTCGTCAAGCATGCTACGGGGCTGGGCGGAAAGAGCCGCAAGCTGCTGAGGCTGAACGAGCTGGGCGGGGAGCTCGCGCTGTGCGGCATGCTGCCGCCCTACTTCAAGACCAAGATTCCGGTGCGGGACGTGGACCGGGTGGACGCGAAGTGGTGCTGCGTGGTGATACACGCCAAGGGTCGCTCGGCGGTGAGCTTCTTCCTCTCGCGTGTGTTGTAGTTCTAGCCGGGGTGTGAAAGCAACTGAGTCGAAATCCATATCTATGCCGATAACTTCTAGTCCATACCGAGTACGTGTTGGTATGCACGCAGTATTTTTTGTTGTGCGTATCATACGATAGTCCGAAGCTGAACACAGGAGTAAACAAACACAAAGCAGCCGCCGCAACAGATATAGCTTGACCGATAGATAGTATAATACTACTCATGTGGCGAGAGATCTGCCCGACACAAGCGACGTTGCCGTCATATATCAGCACGCCCCCTGTGGGGCTGGCGTTTGTGGGGACAGGCCGGCAGGCAGGGTGTGCAAGTCTCTTCTTTCCTCCTGGTAAAAAAGAGCCCAGGACTTGCCATAGGGAAAATCCGGCGGTGGTACGTGCCCATGTTGGGATGACTTGCTCCATCAGTTCCTATCGTCACCGGCAGGCAAGCACGATAGAAAAGATAGATTGCGGCTAGTGAGAGAGAGGACGTGGTATCTGTATTGCTACCCAGCCGAGCTACCTTGATTCGTGTCTTGTGTGCAACCGTGTGGCTGGGGCATCTCCCCCCCAAACGTTCACCCGTGATAGTATCGACTGGTGTACGCATAAAGGCAGTGCGGGGGACCAGAGGCACCAAAGGGTTCATTCAAGAAGTACTTCGTAATTTGTAAGACCCGAGACATCTGAACGTCCGAACTGACAATAATTTATCGACATCGGATCGTTCCGGCCCTGGCTCTCTGGCTCCACCAAAACATTCGTCGGGGCCAAGTTTTTATCCGGCCTGCATCCCTCAAAAAACAGCTTTCTACCGCATGGTGGAGGTCGTTCCTTCGCCGCTGGTAGGCCGCTTGCGGTTGGCTCTTTCTTTTCTTGTATCTTGGATGCATCTTGGTCAATAGACATCGATCGTAGGTTTCGGAGTTGATCCTCCTGTTGCTTTGGATTGCGGATTCGAATCTCTCATCGGGAGTGAACCATCGTATCTGCATGTTTGAGCCCATGTGTAGTCGTGAGCGGACACGTTGAGAGAGAGCCGTTGACTGCATCTCGCGTGAATCGCCCAAGCACCGCGGCCGGGGGACGGGCGAGCAAAACGTCCCCACTTCCTGCTCCCCCCCTGTATGTGTACAAATTATTGTAAGTACTCCATATCGAGCTGGTGCGCCACACAACATGGAGTACGGCCAAGGTATTTGATCATAGGTCTACAGCAGTAGGCGCGGACGAAACCGACAATCAACGCGACCGAACGAAGCAGATGGCAGAGGTAAAGCAACAAAAAAAAAACGCTTGAAGTACATTATTTGGTGCCGCACCGCATCAACTGCTGCATGCAGTATCTCGTGTCTCCAGTGTCGGAAACTCCGTCCGACAGGCATCGCTGAATCCACAACAAACACGGAGGGTCGTTTGTATTGTTGGGCGGAAAGCATGCACGCATTGATGCTCGAACGCCTTCAAGCACTGCGTATAGGGCTCAAGCACAGACTCGGAGATGCAGGGATGGGCGCAGCTTATTCAAATCAATCATCTGTAGACTATGCTTTGTTTTCAGAGCGTTTCAGCTCGTGGCACTAGTCTTGTCTGCCTCATTTTCGTATTTCACCGCACGCCCTCTGCTGTCGGACCGTTGGACCGCACAACAGTGCATCATCCGTGTTCTCACACCTAGGGGTAGTGGTGTAGTGGTGTGCGAAGTGCATGCGGTAGCTGTACAGCAGCCACAGCAGCGGCGGTGTACCCTAGAGCTTGTGATTTTATGAAGCGTCGCGCGGATGCGTCACGTCGATCGGGTGTGCCGTACACGTGAACAGAAGAGAAAACATTCTTTTCCGCCTGGGGCTCCTTGACCTGGCACGGTGGCGGTGCCTGGTTTGTCGCGGCGGTGCCTACGTGAATGAAAAAGAGAGTGAACTCTCTGCTTGGATTGCCGCGCCGGGAGTGTTGCATGTTGTGACCTTTGACTTTGGGGCGGAGGCAATGGGATGAAGGGCATTTGGTGATGCATTCAACGGGCAACACCAATATCTGATTCTGTAGACCGGCCACCCGCCCCCGTCACATTCTAGAGGTTCCACAGGAAGGTTCCCGTAAACCATTGTGTTCGACCACGTCCGTTAGCACAAGCGCCCCTCTCACGTTCAGTCGGACGAATAGCTGTACCTGCCACGCCCGTCACACTCAGTCGGACAAATCGGATGACATCTCTGTATCACGGTCTGCCTTGTCTGTCCTCAGCAGGAATCTCGTCCTTGCCTCAGATGGAGTATTTCTGTGCCTGTCCTGCCCGCTCCCCCCCCCCGCTCGGTTGCCGTGTAGGTCTCTTATGCTTGAAGTACTTGACTTGCCGCCTTTACACGTTGCTCGCCTTTTTTAATTGAGTATAACTACCGAAACGACAACCGAGAGCGGGCGGAGACAGCGATAAATAAACGTAGGCGTATTCAATATGAGGAAACGAGAACCGAGCGCGCGGGGGGGAAACAGAGGGAACCAAGCGTATAACTACTCAATCTGAGGACAAGAACCGAGCGCGCGGGGGGGAAACAGAGGGAACCAAGCGTATAACTACTCAATCTGAGGACAAGATTGCGGCTGAGGAGAACACGATGGAGATGGCCGTTCGTGTCGAGAGATACATATGATGCCATGTCCTACCATGTATTTGTTGGATTGAATGTGACGCGGGTGGCAGGAATACTGCCAGCCGTTTTGATCTCCCTTCAAAAATTCTATGGGTCAATCGCCTCCTCCCGTGCACCCTCCCCGATGTGGTGCACTGGTTGATGTTCATGGGTGTCTGGTTATGTTTTTTCCCGACTTGAGTGCCGGCAGGCTGCCGCATCGAACACTAAAGCAGCACCGCGCGCAGGCTACCTCGTCCTCCACCCCACTGTCTTTGCCCATACAGTGAAGAAAATTTGCCGTTTCTCACTGGTCTGATCCACACACGCCAGCAAGTAATTGTGGATCTTCCTCTCGTACTTTCCAGCGATCGATCACACATGCTGTCCCTACGTGTTCTCCCCCTGTGTCCCCACCTCTACGTTCACGTCGCTGTCATACTATTTTTGTAAGCATCGCATGGATCGGAGAGTTGGCATGGAGGGTGCTATTTATTCTAGACGCTGAGATCAAACCACTTGACTATTATTGCTGGCTAGCCGAAAGTTTGATTTGGCTTGTTCCGAAATGCAAATGATTGCTCAATTTAGATGGGTTCGCGCGCGGGAATCGGAGGTTGGGGCTTAAATCAGATAGTCAGTAGGCGTGAACAGACGGAAGGAAGCTCTCACGGCGGTTGTGTCCGGCCAACTGTCCGATCGCTTACGGATGGTCATTTTACATCTAACCCGCCTCCCCCCCCTCCCTCCCCCACTGTGCCTAATCCCCCCCCAAACTCCCCAAAACAGCTCCGGCTCGAGGTGGATTCCGTCACCACCGCCGACACCCTCCGAGTAGGCCTGATGGCCGCCTCAAGGATGCAGCCCATGTCGCCTCCGTCCAAACCCCCACCCACGGCGGCGACGGATCCAGCCACCCTCGCCGTCACCCAGGGTATCGATTCCCAGCCGCCGACCCCCGATTCCCCCGACGGGGTCTCCGAGCCGGACCCAGAGCAGGGCCTCGCGAGCGTGCGGCCGGGGCACCGCGAGAGCGAAATCTACGACCCTGACGCTGCGCTGTCGGTGGCGGCGCTCCTGGCCAAGGAGATGGAGGAGGAGCGCATGCTGGCCCTGGGTGGGGGCGACGCCGACGGCGCGGGGGGGGGGGG